TTTTTGAGCTGTTTTCTTCTGTTGAGGTCGCCCAGTATTTCCGACCAGATTCCATTCAGTTTTCTCTAGATCTGATCACCGGAATTAGGGTTCCGGTGATTTTCAGGCAGTTTCCGGCGAGTTCCCGGTGAAATCAGATTTTTTTTCAGGCCACTGTGGGTAGATTCCGGCAGTTTCCAGCTCTTTTCAAGTCAAATTTCGAAAAATGTCTTTCGGATGTGATGTTTTTGGCTCCAAAAATATGGGGATTGGAAGTTCAAGCCTTACAATCACTTCAGAACCATTAATGGGAAGTTCAAACTATTTAGCTTGGGCTTCTTCAGTTGCGTTGTGGTGCAAAGGTCAAGGTATTCACGATCACTTAACAAACAATGCTTGGGTTGAAGATGAAAAGACAAAGTCTAGTGACGAAGGTGCAAAAGCCAAAGCACAATGGGAGAAAGTGGATGCCCAATTATGTAGTCTCCTTTGGCGCTCTATTGATTCTAAGTTGATGCCCTTGTTTCGCCCATCCCAGACATGTTATTTAGTTTGGGAAAAGGCACGTGCTTTATACACTAATGACATATCTCGATTCTATGATGTGATATCTCGGATGACCAACTTAAAGAAACAAGAATCCGATATGTCTAGTTTATCCAAATTAGATTGTGAGTCGTGTCAACTTGGGAAACACACTCGTGCTACATTTTCACGTAGTACTGAGGGTCGTTCAGAGTCTACTTTTTCATTAGTTCATTCTGATATTTGGGGTCCTAGTAGAGTCAATTCCACATTAGGATTTCGTTATTTTGTTAGTTTCATTGATGACTATTCAAGATGTACTTGGGTTTTCTTAATGAAAGATCGTTCTGAGTTATTTTCTATATTTAAAAGTTTTTTTGCTGAAATAAAAAATCAATTTGGTGTTTCTATTCGTACTTTTCGTAGTGATAATGCCTTAGAATACTTATCCTCCAAATTTCAGGAGTTTATGACTCACCAAGGCATTATTCACCAGACTACTTGTCCATACACCCCTCAACAAAACGGTGTAGCAGAAAGGAAAAATAGGCATCTTATTGAGACTGCTCGTACTCTTCTCCTTGAATCCCATGTTCCGCTGCGTTTTTGGGGAGATGCAGTTCTTACGTCTTGTTATTTAATAAATAGAATGCCCTCATCTTCTCTTCAGAATCAGGTTCCACATTCCATACTGTTTCCTGAGTCACATCTCTATCCTATCCCCCCTCGTGTCTTTGGGAGCACATGCTTTGTTCATAACTTAGCCCCAGGGAAAGATAAATTAGCCCCTCGTGCCCTCAAATGTGTCTTTCTTGGTTACTCTCGAGTTCAAAAAGGGTATCGTTGTTATTCACATGATCTTCATCGTTACCTTATGTCCGCTGATGTTACATTCTTTGAGTCTCAGCCTTACTATACGTCTTCTGATCATCCTGATGTTTCTATGGTCTTACCCATACCTCAGGTTTTACCTGTACCAACTTTTGAGGAATCTGCGATTACTTCTACATCTCCAGATGTAGTGCCACCACTCCTAACTTATCATCGCCGTCCGCGTCCAGCACTAGTACCAGATGATTCATGTCTTGCGCCAGACCCTGCTCGTACTGCGGACTTGCCTCCTCCTAGCCAACCACTTGCACTTCAAAAAGGTATACGATCCACTCGAAATACTAATCCTCATTATACCTTCTTGAGTTATCATCGTCTATCATCACCCCATTATGCCTTTGTATCATCTTTGTCTTCTATTTCCATTCCTAAGACTACAGGTGAAGCACTTTCTCATTCTGGATGGAGGCAGGCTATGGTTGATGAGATGTCTGCTTTGCATAAGAGTGGTACTTGGGAGCTTATCTCTCTTCCTGCAGGTAAATCTACTGTTGGTTGTCGTTGGGTTTATGCAGTCAAAATTGGTCCAGACGGTCAGGTTGATCGGCTTAAGGCTCGCCTTGTTGCCAAAGGGTATACTCAGATATTTGGGCTAGATTATAGCGACACTTTCGCCCCTGTGGCTAAAATAGCATCTGTCCGTCTTTTTCTATCTATGGCTGCCGTTCGTCATTGGCCTCTTCATCAGTTGGACATTAAGAATGTTTTTTTTCATGGTGATCTTGAGGAGGAAGTCTATATGGAGCAACCACCTGGTTTTGTTGCTCAGGGGGAGTCTAGTAGCCTTGTATGTCGATTGCGTAGGTCACTCTATGGTCTGAAGCAGTCTCCTAGAGCTTGGTTTGGGAAGTTCAGCACAGTTATTCAACAATTTGGCATGACTCGTAGTGGAGCTGATCATTCTGTGTTTTATCGGCATTCTGCACCAAATCAGTATATCTATTTGGTTGTGTACGTTGATGATATTGTTATCACTGGTAATGATCAAGATGGTATCACCAAATTGAAGCAACATCTCTTTAAGCACTTCCAGACTAAAGACCTTGGCAGATTGAAGTATTTTCTAGGTATTGAGGTTGCTCAGTCTAGATCAGGTATTGTTATTTCTCAACGCAAGTATGCCTTAGACATTCTTGAGGAGACGGGAATGATGGGATGTAGACCTATTGACACTCCTATGGATCCGAATGTTAAACTCCTTCCAAGACAGGGGGAACCACTTAGTAATCCTGAAAGGTATAGACGGCTCGTTGGAAAATTGAATTATCTCACAGTAACTAGACCTGACATCTCTTTTCCTGTGAGTGTTGTAAGTCAGTTTATGACTTCCCCTTGTAATAGTCATTGGGAAGCAGTTGTTCGTATCTTGCGATATATAAAGTCAGCTCCTGGTAAAGGACTACTCTATGAGGATCAAGGTCATGAGCATATCACTGGATATACAGACGCTGATTGGGCAGGATCACCCTCTGATAGATGTTCGACATCCAGATATTGTGTTTTAGTAGGAGGTAATTTGGTGTCGTGGAAGAGTAAGAAACAAAGTGTGGTTGCTCGATCTAGTGCAGAATCAGAATATCGAGCAATGGCAACAGCAACTTGTGAGCTAGTCTGGATCAAACAGTTGCTGGGAGAACTAAAATTTGGCGAAATTGATCAGATGGAACTTGTGTGTGACAATCAAGCAGCTCTTCATATTGCATCAAATCCAGTGTTTCATGAAAGGACTAAGCATATTGAGATTGACTGTCACTTTGTCAGAGAAAAGATACTCTCAGGAGATATTGTTACGAAATTTGTGAAGTCAAATGATCAGCTTGCAGATATCTTCACCAAGTCCCTCACAAGTCCTCGTATTAATTACATCTGTAACAAGCTAGGTACATATGATTTGTATGCACCAGCTTGAGGGGGAGTGTTAGAATAGAAATATGTACATATACTCCTACTTAGAATAGGAAGAAGAATAGGAATAGGAATCCTAGTTAGAAAAGGATTTCAATGTATTGTCTATAAATGGGGTCTCAATGTAACAATTTAGATACACAATTCAATAATATCTTCCCCATATATTTCTCACAGTAAACAATGAAACAACAACAAGCTCAAGCAGAAGTAATATGGACTTTGTCAGTTCAGTCCTCGAGGGAGGGGTGGGAGTCCTACAGAATCGAGTAGTAGCAAGCAATCATGTGGTCACTATTTAGCTTAAAACCTATTTATAATAAAAATCGGTTGAATTTTTAAGTATGTCGTACTTAATCTAGACAATATTAATTCCTTGATAGTGTCAATGAAGCAGTAAAATAATAAATTAACCAACAAACAATAAATGAGAGATGAAATAACAAAAATGAAAAATTCTTATTCCATTTCCAGAATCAATCAATAAATGTTGGCGCGAAGGGTTGTGTGTACTCCAAATAAGTAATATTTACTTTTTCAAAAGTCAATTTGAATAATTTTTAAAGTTATTTTTTATTACATTAATTTGATATTTTAAACAAAAAAAAATAGATATTCAAAAACTATAAGAAAAGTATTATAAATTGCAAATTTTTGCATACCAATATGATGAAAAAATATATCGTAAAATGTTTGTCAAAGTTCTTATTATTTGACTCTAAAAGAGGAAACTATGACGATAAAACGTGGACGGAGGAAATAGTTTTTAGTATTGAAGTGAAAATCAGATGATCATCATTGTAGGGGTAATGAAGGTCTTTATGGATAGACGACAACTAACATTAACGACTCTCCTTAATATCTACACGGTTTAGCTGTTGTTGTGCGTAAACGTTAACGCTAGTTGAATTAAATGAAATCTCGAAATACAAGTGTTATTGTCCTAAACCTGCATCGAAACAACCAAATTTTCTCAGCTCCTTCTTTTGATGACGAACAATTTTATATTATTAATGCAATTTAAAAGAATTAAACTTTAAGGGGTCGTTTGGTAAAATGTATTAGGAAAAATAACGTATGCATTAGCCTTGTGTATTACTAATACCTTGTTTGGTACTCTTTTCTAACATATGTGTAACTAATGCTTGCATATTTACATTAGTTGTACACTCTATTGTATATTAATGTATGCATTACTAATACATGCATTGACTCAATTAAAGATCCATTTACCTCTCAAATCCTTTTTTACATCTTTTCTATCATAATAGTGGGGGGATCTTAGTAAATTAATTTTTTTATGTAATGCATGTTATTTTTAATACATAAAAATAATCTATGTATAATTAATACAAGTATAACTAAAACATGCATTGTCAATACAAATATTACTAATACACTATATTTAGCATTATTCTTATATATTCTACCAAACGACCCCTGATATTCTATAGATTCGAAATTTTTCGCCAAAGGGCAAAATATTTCAGGCGGGAGAAAGGGTTTTAACCTTAAACAGCATTCAAATTCACAGACTCCGCTTCTTATTGGTCTATTTGAAATGACGCAGATCCAGACATATTGAATGTACACCGTCGGATTAAAGATCAATCCAACGGCTGTAAACAAACATCCGAAAAACCAAATGACAACTAAAGATCTCTATAAAAACCATCCGCAGATTCTTACCAATTATCATCTCTCCGACAATCAATTATCTCTTTCAAAGAAAATAAAGAAGCTATTCTTGAAATGGAGTCTACCGGAAAAGTGAAGAAGGGTGCCGCCGGCAGGAGGGGAGGAGGCCCAAAGAAGAAGCCTGTTTCCCGGTCTGTAAAGGCCGGTCTTCAGTTCCCCGTTGGAAGAATCGGAAGGTTTTTGAAAAAAGGCAGATACGCTCAACGTGTTGGTTCTGGTGCTCCCGTTTACTTGGCCGCCGTTCTTGAATATTTGGCTGCTGAAGTAAATTTCCCTTCCTTCCCTCCAGCTTTGCTAATTTGGTTCAATTAGGATCTAGGGTTTCAATTTTTGATTGGTTGTTCTTATTTTTGTGTTGAAATTCATGTTGGGTATCTCACAAGTTTTGATTTTGTTTGATTTATAGGTGTTGGAGTTGGCTGGAAATGCTGCTCGTGATAACAAGAAGAACAGAATCATCCCAAGGCACTTGCTTTTGGCTGTGAGGAATGATGAAGAGCTAGGGAAACTTCTTGCTGGTGTAACAATTGCACATGGTGGTGTTCTTCCTAACATCAACCCAATTTTGTTGCCAAAGAAGACTGGAGGTGAAAAGGCCCCTAAATCTCCATCCAAAGCTACCAAGTCTCCCAAGAAGGCTTAGATTCTTAATGGTTTTTTTTTTTTTTTGGATCTTCTGTGTATGTAATTTTGTTGTTAGAAGCTGATGATTATCCTTGATGGATATTAAATGGAATTAGTTGAAACTACTGTTAGTTTTTTTTGCCTCAATCATCAATCAATGAAACCCCTTGTTTCGACTTTACAATTTCCTTTCCTCATTTCTTTGTTTATGTCTGTTGCTTTTGTTCCTGAAATGATATGCTTTTTCTAGATGTTGAAGGAATCACAGCATCAATAAAGTGAAAAAATGATGTTTTGATTCTCTCTACAATTGAGGGCCATGTTCATTCGCCAATTAAGATGTCAGATCTTGTCCATTGGTGTATCAGATTGAACGCTACTTATGATTTCTTATTGGGGCATATGAAAAAGTAATTAACTTCATTCATTTTAAGTATTGATTGGTGTTGCACATCTAGATACAACTGTTTCATAGAGGAAAATGCACCTCCTAGGTAAATTCTAGTTGCCTAGTTCAATCAAGTCTTCATACTTGGAAGCATTTTTTTGATCAAATTGTATACCTGGTAATTAAGAACACACAAATTATGAGTGGATGTCATTTGACTAAGAACTCTTTGATGTGGATGACCAAATCAAAGATGCCAATAGGATGAGGGAGGTTTTGTAATCGAATAAGTTGAACAAGTGATTGAGGAAGAGTTCTTGGTGTAGACACCATTGTTACTCTTAACATGAAAGAAACGGTTCTTGGAATCCCAATCCCTGACAAGAAAATAATTAGGATGGATTTTTTTTTAAAAAAAACAATAATATCATGTCCACATCGTTGAACAGAAAGAAAGGAGTTTTGTGATGGAGACAATAGAGAAGCTACGATATTACTAGATCATACTACTACTAATGTGGTAAATCACATATAAAGAGCAATAATAGAGGAAAACTTCTCCAAAAACAGAATGAATTCACTACGGAGAAAGAGGGTAAACAAAGGTGCCCTTGATACAATAAAAGTGGTTTACTAGAGAGTTCTAGCAGCTCAACAACTTAGAAAACTTGACAAAATCCAAATTCAAACAGATATCAAAACTAAAATCCACAGAAGAGAGTAGATACTAATGATTATCTGTGTTGAGTCTGTTGACAAATACTTGGCTCATATTAGGGAATCTAATGCGCACTGCGCAATATTCCATGCAAATAACCACCAGTCATAATAAAAGACACAAAGGAGACAACACCAGCTGGAAAAACCTTCTTTGATTTCAGAAAACGAGATCCCATTACTCCAAGAAGTCCAGCTGAGAGGACGAAACCAATTGCTGATGCCAAAACAGGTTGTGTTGGAAGCATAGTATAAACAGCGTACAGGAGGGAGGCAGAAACTCCACCTGCAATCAGGGATTTTGTGCTGCCACTCTTAAGATAACCCATAAAACCACCAGCTCCAACCAAGAAAGCATAGCCCAATGTCAATTTTTGGGACATAGAGAGGGCCATTTTCTTTTTACTGTTATGATCCTCACCTTCATCTGAACCCCCCTCATTGCCACCATCATTATTATTTCCACCACTATCTCCCCTACCCCCACTGTCATCATTTGTACCTCCAGAATCACTTCCACCACCACCACCTGCCTCTGGCAGAATATCGATTCCTGGCCCAGCTGGATCAACAGTAAAGGTAGTTGGCATTGTAGAGTCAGCAGAGACAACACTGGCTCTGACCCCCAAAGAGAAATGCTTCGATCCAGCAGACAAGCCTGGATACACTGTGCGAGAGGTAGTCAAGGTATGAAGAGATGAATGAAGTGACCTCAATGGCTGACTATGAGCAATGAAAAGCTGCCTTTGACTCCAAGCTTGGACTCGAAAGTTAGGCAACACTAGGGAGGACTGAGAAATGGCCAAAAATTCACCCATTATCTGGAATATGAAATAGCAACGTGTACACTGAATCACGAGAAATTTATTTTTGGGATGTTTTGTTTTCAACAGCTTCTGTAGTCTCAGCAACTTCCACAAAAATCAGTCTTCCATCAACAATCTGCAGTCGGTAGATCATTTCAATGACAGAACAGAAATAGACATCAACAAAACTCGGACAGTCAATGTAAGATATTGCACCAGGAGGAAATGAAAATAGATGCACTTTATAAAGCTGGGAAACAAATTTCCCCCCGAAAGTAAAAGAAGCTTTCTGCAAAAGATAATGCCACTTAACATATTCACATTATTGATATAACATTTCTACTACTCTCAGTTGTGCTTTCTCTCATCTCTATTTCTCTGTCTGCTTGGCACTTCTCGTGTTTATTGCAAATTATAACAATCTTTTTTATCTGTGCACACAATGTTTAGGTACTTCCGTCTTGAATGACGTAATGTCCATTATGCCAAAATAACACCAAAAACACACACAAAATAAAAAAATCATTGTTGTGAGAGAATGGACAGTGATAGATGTGGCAACTAGGTACCAATATTAGATCAAAGTCAGGAAAGGTAGAGACCACGGGGGGTGGGTGGAGGTAGTGGCTTAATAGAGGGGAAGCAGACAGTTCCTCAGTTTGGAGTTTGATATCATAGTTTTGTTCTTCAACTGACATATTTTATGCATACAAGTATACTTTCTTCTTTTTCTTGTTTTGTTTATTACCGGTTTAAAAAATTCTCTTCTCCAGAACACAACCATCCATTTTTAAGTCATGTTTTCCTAGAATTTGAGAAATTAGATAACAGCTTTAGAGGGTGTTTGGATTGGCTTAAAAGTTGGTCAAACCTACTTTTAAGTCAGTTTTTGACTTTTGAGAGTGTTTGACAAATATAAAAAATAACTTAAAATAAGTTACGAAGTGTTTGGCAAGGTAAAAAATGACTTAAAATAAGTCAAAAACCAAAAGTAGGTCGCCCCTTACTTTTTATTTTTTGACTTAAAAGTCATTTTGGTTTGACTTTTTATTTTTTACTTAAAAACTACTTTTTTAAGCCAATCCAAGCAGGCACTTAGTCTATCCTAAAAAATTCCCAGTTTCTTATCAGTAACTCAATGACTACCACTACTTAAAGCAATATAACATCTCGACCAGTGAACATCAAGAGATTCGTCTCTACTGTATTTGTCAGCAAAACCAGAAGGAAAACTTGGGACAACAAGAGACTTCCCAGTCTTCATTTCCACTAAAGAGTTTATGAGCCAATTAATTCAACAAAGGTAGCACATATCTCAATTAAAAGATAAATAAAATAGGAACCAAAACAAACAACAATAATAAGCATTCATAATGAGATGCAGTTCCTACAGGCTACAGCTAACACAATGTCTATGTAAACCAGCAACTTCCAAGAATCTAGATCTTTCTTTCCAGTGAAAGTTAGTTGTTCTAAGATGGTTATATTCTTTGCAAATTTTGTTATAAACTTATGAATATCCCCCAACTTACATTTTCCACCCTGATCATTGGTCCCTTTTCAGCAATGATTTTCCTAACTCCAACCGAAAGCATTTGCAGGACCATTATCATATTTCAAAGTCCTTACGACCAACGAATGCACCAGTAGATGCAGGTTGATTATAGATCACAGAGTCAAACATCAAGCTGAAACGATTCAGCTTGAAATGCATCTTAAGCTTACAGTTTTGCAGTGAAGTGTTGGAATTAGTTATCTGTTTACTTTAACCCATGATGATTGATAAATAATTTATTTTAAACAGATGGCGGTCTAAGAATTGACAATAGGTAGAGGCATGCCTAGTTTAAAATGTGGGATAGCACTATAACGATAACTCCTTGTCCCCTTTCTAGCAATAGGTACAGATTTAGTAAAAACTTATATATTATCCAAAGTTTTATATACAAAGTACATCCACCATTGTTGATCCGTATCACTATTAAGCACGTTCCATTAACTCAATATACAGATAACACACATAACCAAGAATACACATTTAGAAAGCTGAGGTATTACCCTTCCGTTCAAGGAATTCAATGCATTCTGGGCATCTGCTTCTGACTCAAAGGTAACAAATCCAAAACCTTTAGGCCTTTGCGTTCTTGGATCTTTAACAAGCCTTGCTGCTCACCCAATTAATAAATCCATATCAATCAATCAAATTAACTAAGCCTTAATATTAAACTACTTGCAGACCCACTTTAACGAAATTCATCACGAAGTGTATGAGTTGAGATCGAAATCCCAACAAAAAACAAAAAAACATTTGGTGATTTCTTCCCATCAGTCCTAATTTTAGTGGACAAAGTTATCTGGTACCCATGGAATTAGTCGAAGTGCACGAAAACTAGCCCGGACACCACGGTTATCAAAAACAACAATATACCCAACGTAATCTCACAAAGCGTGGTATGAGGAAGGTAGGTGCACACAGACCTTACCCCTACCCCTACCTAGAGATAGAGAGGTTATTCCGAATAGACACAGACAAAAGCATTTCAGAAAAAGGAAATAACAGAAATGAAAAAGTCATGCCAAAATACTATAAAAAGCATAACAAAGCTTCCAACACAGAAACTATACAAAAGAAATACAATAACCGAAGTACAAAAAAACAACAACAAATAGTAATAGAAATCGAGGAACAAGAAGCTACAAGAGTTATACTACGACTACTAATAAGTAAGGATAATCACCACCACACTCTACTACCTGCAACCTACTACCCTAATCGAAACCAGAGTCATCCAAAAAAAAAAATCACATCATCTTTGTTAGAGAGTTACAAAGCAATCACATAAAGTGGATTAAATCATCTTTCAATTAAAAATTTCAGGAAAACACAATGAAGAAATGCGAATTAACCTTCTGTAACAACGCCAAAAGGTGAAAATATCTTCTTCAACTGTTCACTCGTAGTATAAAACGACAATCCTGCTTAACAAACAAAAAAATCAAATGCATCAGTATTAGGGTTTCAATAAGAACCCCACCAGACATAAATCCAGAGAGAGAGAGAGAGAGAGTGTACTGTTCACGAATAGCTGCAACCCTTTTGCCATCTGAGTTTCAGAGAGCAGAGCTGTATCTAAGTCAAAGAGACACTGCATTTCTCCAAATTGCATACTGGTCCCTGGTTTTAATCCATATTTCGTGTTGGTCCCTACTTTCCTATGATTGTGTTTTTTAAGCCGGTACTTGTGGTTTTAAGGGTGATATGGAAAAGTATCACAGAAAGATAGAAATCAATTTAAATTTAGATTGATTTGAAGTTGACGTTTTATTTAAACATGTAATTTGGATTTCTTATGTTGTGCCTGATAAATATGAAAATTTCACAAGTTGTGAAAATTATCAAAATTTCTCCAATTCATAGACAATCTTTACCAAATGAGCAAAACACAATTCATAAACAAGATATCGCAATATCCCAAGGCACTATATTGAAAAATCACATATCTTCATATTTCTTTTATAAGAAAATATTTATAAATACAATTTTTTTTAAAATAAGAAAAATGACTTTCTTAATAGAAGTAGAGGAAAACAAGTCGCATTATCTCCTCTCTACCCCACCCTATCCTCATAGTTTTGTCTTAGATATATACAAATACTCTTCAGATAATACTTTTTACTTGCATACTGAACACAAGAAAATAAGTAAGAAATCACTTGTTTTCTAGAAAATGTTTTCCTCCATACCGAACACACCCTTATACCATCCTTAAACTCCGTTGGTAGTTTTGTTGAGCATATTATTGAGGAAGTAAATCTTCTTCCTTCTTATATATATATATATGGTGCTACCAAGAATGAAGACTTCTCCTTGTTAAGCATTTGTCCAGAAACACTGCATCGTTTATCTCGTAAATAAAAATTGTACCGTCAGCTTATAACATCACTGGTGCCTTTTCATTTGCAACATATGAAATGAAATCATTATTCTGAGGTAATTGGCTCAACAATCTGGACAATAATTCTGCACATTTAACAAACAAAGAGGGTGAGAACTGAGAAGGAATTACCCTGTATCAGCCTTCTTGATGAGTTATAAAGTCAATCCTAAATCAATTTATGTTTGATTGAATAGCAGATATTTGATATCAATTATCATATCATGATATGTATCCATCTTTCGTCAAACTCAAAGGCTCAAAGAGTGTGACACAAAAACAACCAGCACACCTTATCGTAAGCTTTAGAAATGTCTAATTTGAACACAATGTTCTCCTCTCCCCCATATTAAACTTGAAAATATTGTCTACCAACTCATGGGCCAACATAATATTTTTACTTATGGACCTAACCTTTATCAAACCTGATTGATTATGAGCGATTAATTTGTTACCAGTGAGATTAATCTGCTGTTCAGAAGTTTGAAAACTCTTTTGAAAAACACATTTCTTGAACTGATTGGCCTCAAGTCCGACATAGTAGTGTAAGGTTTTGAGCTTGGGAAGAAGAACAAGACATGTGTATGTGAGAGATAGCAATATTAACAGGCTTTATTAATCAATGTCCCCTTCAATTATATCCTAACAGACCTAATAAAACTTAATATTGAAGTCCTCAAGTCTAGTGTCAATCTCCTTCTCCTTCTATTAACTAATGAGTGAAAGAACTTGGTGCTTAGGTCTTCCGTAGTTGCCTATCTGAAGCCAGACTTTTGACTCCAAAAGGAGAATTTCAATTTCAGATGTTGTATCATCTCCGCATTCTTAAACAAAACGACCATAAAGGATTATCTTGAACCTCCTGTTGTCATGTATTCCTCACAACGTTTGAAAAACCAGGTTGTTCAATCCATAGAGTGAGAAACTTGTCTTTGCCGTTTGATATGTTGTACCTCTAGGGTGAGTAACATAGGGGAATGATCAGACCGTGTTCTATTCACATGACTTACCTAAGTTTTTGGGAAGAAATTCAGCTATTCATGGTTAAGTAACACTCTATCCAGCCTTTTTCATATAATGTATTTTGATGTCCTTCCACAACACCATGTGAAAGGGGAACCAGAAAACACAACATCCAACAAACATCAGTCTACCATATAATTTATGAAAGGGAAACTTGTAATCTTGTATATGCATTGTCGAAGGACACCTTTTTTCTGTACCATCAGTGATTACATTAAAGTCATCGATTAAAGACTAGGGTATGTTGGAAGAAGTAGTAACATCTCTCAAGGAATCCTACAATGACATTCTCAAGTTGTGTTTTGTCTTTGTTTACACTAGTAATACTAAACACTGAGTTTCTCCATTAGTCCATCTAACACTGATCTTGCAGGTAACAACTTGTTCATTCTATGCTCCTTATATGAAGTGCTTGAGTGAAGATTTTCTGCAGATTGTATCCTTTTGATATGTTGTTCTCGTTGGATTCATCCTACTTTGACAGTAGTATTGGCTGCAGTGCTTGGTTCGTTTTAATCTTCCTCTTGATTTGTCATATTTGTTATAGAATGTGTTCCTTCTTTCACTATTGGACTGCCAAGAGTGTTGATTCTTTTCCCTCTTGAACAATATTAGATGTAGTTTCTCTCTCATTCTGCACCTTAGTAGTAGTTGCCTTTCCTTTCTTGTTTATCTTCTTTTGCTTTTTGATTGATCGTTTGTGTTGTCCTCTTCTTTTCAGTTGGGCTGTAGGTTTAGTTGGAAATGTAGTTCATTATCAGAATACCTAAACACATATATATGAGAACTACATATTTGGCAGATTAAACCTCCTTCAATCTCTCAAAATTATGTTGTTCAGTTGAAATCACAAATACATAACGATCACGCAGAAGAGAGCATAAGCAGAAAAACAAAATAATGACTAAAACTGCAAGCAAAATACCGAACTGGGTAACAAACAAATGTTCTTAAAAGATTATTTCAGAGGAGAAAAGCTTCTATTGAAAGTACCTTCTTTGTTCCAAGCAGAAAAACCCTTCTTGAAATTATCCTTAAATGGACTCTATGCTGCACAAACTTGGATTAGTCAGTACAATAATTACCAAATATCAGATGGTTCGATTGAAACATAGAAAGCACCTTTTCTGTTTCAAATTATTAAACGGGAAAGCAAGATGATATCACCAAAAAAATTAAGATAATACATTGGGAGATTTCATTTACAGTGTCCACAAAACGTTTAATCAGATATTGAGAAGCCAAATTGCTTCCATTAAGCATGCCCAACTCTATAAACCAAGACAAGAATCATGTCACTGTCTTATGCGGTTATCTATTTCTGAGATTTGACATAGTAATAGATCTAAATCGAATAGCTAAAATACAAGCTCATCTAACAGCTGGCGTACACTCCTATCACTAGTGCAAGAATCCTTGACAATGACTTCCCATGAATCAAAATTGAACTTTTTCTTCCTCTTCTCCATCTCCTCCAAAACAAAGCAAGCATCTTCAACCTTCCCTTTATCAAGCAGACCAAGAATCAAACACCTTACTGTTTCCATACGTGGAAAATGCCTGCTCATCAACATTGCATTCAAAACTTTCAAACCTTCCTCAAATTCTCCCGTTTTACAAAATCCATCAACCACCATTCTGTATGTAATTGCAATAGGATAGCAGCCTGCAATTTGCATATCAACTAACATCCTATACGCCTCAGTGGTTTTACCTTCCTTACAAAAATAATTAATTAACATGTTATAGATCACAATGTCAGGCTTAACGCGCCTTTTTTTCATCTCCACAAGTAAACTGTTTGCCTCACCAATTTCACCTCGTTTCAAAAGATCAGTCATCAAAACACCATAATTGACTATTTTCAGCTTACATCCTTGGTATTCCATATCAAACATCAACTTCTTAGCCTCCTTATACCTCCCTAAAGAACATAAACCTTCCATCAGCAAAGCATAAGAAACTGCATTTGCCTTCTTTCCCTTTTTAACCATATCCTGAAACAGACTTTTAGCACCTTCAACATCCCCCTTCTTACACAAAAACCCAATTTGACAATTGTAAGTAACCACAGTTGGCTCAACCTCTCTTTCAAGCATTTCATCAAACAGCTGACGAGCCATTTCCCAATCACCCTTCTCCAGCCACATCTTGATAATAATGTTAAACGAAACAGAATTTAACCAGATACCCATCTTCGAACAACTCCTTAACATCTCATTAGCAGATTCAGAACGCCCATTATCAACAAACACATTCAAAATTGCATTAAAAGACTGCACACTACGCGAACAATTAAACGACCCCATTTTGTGAAAAAGCTCAACAGCATTATCAACTAACTGGGCTTTCCCATAATGCTGAATTAACCCAATAAAAAGTGTTTCTTTACATCGAATATAATGAGTTTGGAGATACCCAAGAAGGGATTCAACAGCTTCAAAATTTCGAGACTTTGCGAGCTTATAAACAAGACAAGAATAAGTTGGGTAGTCATGTTTGAACCCCATTTGTTGGTAATCATGGAAGAGTGATATAGCTTCATCAGGATCTTGGATTTGTTTGAGATCTGCAAGGAGTGGTATTGGTTTGCGAAGAAGGTTTCTTGTGGGCTTATGAGGCTCAGGTGAAGATTTTGAAGTGTGTCTGTGAGTACGATGATGACTGTGGTATGGTTGGGATTGGAAAATTGGGATTCTGAATTGTGCAAGATTGTGAATAATGAGTGTTGAAAGAGTTATGGTAGCTGGTTTAACTCTTGAATTGATCATGGAGTTCCAAATCTACTTGAACTGATAAATTTGCTTCATTCCTTGGCTGAGCTAGTTAATGTACAGTCTTCACTTACACCTTGTTTGGATGGTTGTTACCTATAGTATTGTATTGTTAATACAACCTTTGTTTCAAATATTACTTAAATTTTATTGCATCATATGTTTAAATTCATCATTAGGAAATCATGAAAAAAAAAACTCATTTTATGTAATGATTGATTTGGTATAATCAAGTCGTTACTTTAATATTTTATTCTCATTTTATCTTTATTTATTGATTATATTTTACCTTTTATCCTACCTTTCATAGTAGCTCTATCTCATACTCTACTTTTCTTATAAGTTTATCATTCAAATTATGAATATGCTTTTAACCTTACTTAGATATTATACCATAGAAATATAGCAACAATTATGAATATGCTTTCAACCTTATTTAGATATTATACCATAGAAATATAGCAACAATTATAATCTTTTTCAATGAATAGGTGTCCCAAAAAGTATAACCATGTATAAATCAATAGTTGAGAAAACTTATAACTCATTACTGCACTTGCAAACAGTTAGTTTTTTTTCTCCAACAGCAACCTTAGTTGACATTTCTCCCACGATGCAGCGGCATCAAGTTGACACTTTTGATAAAAATGTCAGGCATTATAAAGCCTGATGTCATTGTAACTCGAACTCCACTCTATCTCCAGTAGCCTGGATGAAACATTCACTATTAGATATATTATTATTCATGACATGGTAATGGTGTTTCGTTATAGCTTTATAAAACCAAAATCGAAAATTAAGAATTGATGTCGTAGAGTCAGGTGTTATGGTTGAAGATTAGTGAAATGAAGTATGATAAGGTGTTGAGAACCGAGTTGAAACAAGAGAGTTGTTCTCGTAAGAAACATACCATGTGTGGGTGTCTAAGTACTGATATGCTGCTGATATTACTAATGCGGTCTTTGGATAGCAGAAGCCTAACATGCGGGATGCTTCTCCAACTCTCTCCAAGTGCTGGCTTGGAAGTACCTCTCTCACCAGCCACCATGTGATTCGTGACCTAGCATAGAAGGGTAAATATTATAACGAGGTCTACACAGGGGCGGAGCTATAGGAAAATTACACGGTATGTACAAGATCAAAATTCATTTTTATGATAGATGTTGAATCCCCTTAGCTTCTTCGTTTGTTTACTTCTTTATATTTTGAATCTCATTAGTAAAAATCACGGCTCCGTCACTGGGTTCACAAATAGGATATCAAGAAAGCCTATAGTGAAAGTAGAACTAGAATACTCCATTACTTATTGAGGAAAGTTCAGGTGGACAATATGGGATCATGTGTAAGGGCAGCTCAGTGCACTAAAGCTCCTGCTATGCGTGAGGTTAGGGAAAGGGCCAGACTATAAGGACATGCTTTGTAGGAGGTATTAATCAAAATAATCCATGGATTAAAATTTAGTCCAACAAAAACATTGTTTGGTTACTTTATTTAATCTAATCCATGGATTAGTTATACCTCATACAAGGTCTTATTTTATCCCTAGAAAAGGGAGGGATAACTAATCCAAGGTTTAACAATCCTTAGATAAGACCCCTAAATGACTAAACTATCCCCACATCTTTTTTCCTTCTTTTTTTTTTGTAATTTAATGTTCTTTTTTTTTTATATTTATATGAGAATATTTATAAATATTCTTTTAAATTCACCAAATTCGTTCCATGTGATTTGATGATTTCACAAATTAATATTTTTTTCTTCATGTTTGATTTGTTATATTGGGCTGATTTTTTTCGTTTTTTTAAATGTAGTTCGTCGATTGACCACTTGAACTATTTGTTTTTTTAAAAAAAAATAAGCTTCGTGTATTTGAACAATTTAAGTAGCCTTAAATCTATGTTAAGTTTGAGGTATATTTGACCAAAAAAAAATTAGAAATATACCGTGCTATATCAATGATGTCTATAGTGACATATCACACCTAAAAATAATAATAATTTTTTTTTATATTTTAGTATTTAACTTGACTAGTTAAATGAAATATAAAATCTCATAATAACTCAAGGGTATAATAGGAAATAAACTTTTTCTAGAGTTTTACACCAAACATAAGATTAGGTTGGAAACAATGAACCAAACACTTGATAAAAACTAATCCCTTGCATTACTAATCCCTGCACTACTAATCCATGCGTAGTAATCCCTGCATTATGCATCTTTGTACCAAACGACCCCTAAGAGTCTATTGCATACAACCTTATCCTATATTTCTGCAAAAGGTTGTTTTCACGGTTTGATATGGGATCTTGTGTATTAAACCTGAAATTTACTTGTTGAGTCTAAAACGAACTGTGGATCCTTTTTTTTAAGAACCTAACTGATAGAGCTGATGGTAAGTACATTACAACTTGACAAGTTCATATCTCTGGCTTATGTGCTTAATAATAATACACAGAATCACAGATCCTCTCCTTATCAGATAAAATAGCTCATGTTATGAAGATAACAGATATCAAAGTAATAGCAAAGAGAATGAAGAACACTGAAACGAAGATATTAAAGATAATAGAAAAGAGAATTAAGAACGCTGAAACAAAGAGAACATGTTAATGTTATGATACTGCCAAACTTACCAAAATGGAGATATCATGTTCATGTGCCAATCGTTTTAGTAAAAATCCCGCTGAAAGCATTAAAGCATGTCCTGTTTCACAAAGAAGGAACAATCCCTTTAGTTGTTACGTCGAGTATTAGTTGTCAAGAAGGTTGTTTTATTTTGACATGTGGATACTCTTTAACAGAAGAAAATCGAAGAAAGAGAACTTACACGCACACAAAAAAAAAATGTGTCTTGAGAGCATACATCAACAACTAAGCCTCAAGCCAAACTATTAGGGATACTAGAAGAAAAAGAATCTAACCCAATCAGGGTTCTCGTTTACCAAGAAGCTACCTTAAAGAAATGAAAAACAAAAAAACTTCCTAGAATAAATGCAAACTACAAGTTGATTCTTAAATTGCTTAAGAAAGTAAAATATAAGAAACAATCTAAAATTAATGAAATAATCAGTTCATCCTACAGTGAGAAATTACCATGCGCACCACCTCCAAGAATTGGTGCAATGAGTGATGATATTGAGTCGATGATAAGCATTCTTATGTGCTCATCTTTCTGCATATCATACCCTCATAAGTGAGTGCCCCAAGGACATGTACCTAATCTAGGAACAAGGCGATGAGAGTAGAGAAACTAGAATTGTATTTCCAAAAACCTGAGATCTGAGATTGTTCTTTAGCTGATGAAGCACTTCAAACAGTGTAAAAATGTCAAACACTGAGAAACATACTATGTTTTTCATTACTTGTTGAAGGGACTTGTCCACCTGAGAAAGAGCAGATGGCGTTGAAAAGTTGGGTACAAAAACTTGCATGATAATCTCAGCAGCCATATTATTCATGTGGACAAATGATAACATACACAGTACATCTTCAGTGACGTACATAAAATTTGTGGCATGCATATCCTGATCAAAAACAACTTCCCGGTAGATATGCAATGCAGCATATGTAACTGAATTTGAGAAAGCATACTCTATCTGACCTACTAAGAGAAGTGAAAATCCAATTGGCAAATGAATCTACGCAAGCCAGACCTTGTGATTCACATGTCAACATAACAACAACATACCCAATGTAGTCCCACAAAGTGTGGTCTGGGGAGGGTAGAGTGTACGCAAACCGTACCCCTACCTCAGAGGTAGAGAGACTGTTTCCGATAGACCCTTGGCTCAAGAAACCAATCCAAAGCAGTCCCAACAAGAAGTAACGGAAGTACAAGAAATAACAGATAGTAACAAAAACAGTAACAACAACAGCAGACAGTAACAGAACAGAACCACAACTAAACAACATGATAATCGAGGTACAAGGAACAATAGATTGTAACAACAGATAGATTGATTCACATTTCAGTAGTAGAAAAGAAGAAAATCAAATTATCGACTGCTGACTTTATTTTCTTTTGTTAATTAGCACCGCAGATATTCTTCCAAGAAGATACTTCTTGCAGCATGGTTCTCCTATTCAAATTTGTTCAAAAGGAATTATGAATCATAAAGAATAATCAGATGGATCGGTGCTAGTTATTTTGTATCAAACAACATAAAAACATGTTTTATGACGGAGCTGGAGTAGTTATTATCATGAAGAAGATCAACTGCGATGAATTACAAAAGAGGGACAAAGGATTCGACTGGCGAACAATGTCCAAGATAGAGAATGTGCAGTTATACACAGAAAATATCTAGTAATCTTAACCAGAAGTTCCCATGCCACCCTAACTTTCATTGGATACTTTTGGTATTCCGATCACATAAAGATTTGTGAAACAGCAAACTGAATTGCAGTCTATCTTCGCCGGCAATAAATAACAAAATCAGGTAAGGAAGGTCACACAATGAAAGGATCTACAAATCTGTTTCATTGGTAAATCTAGACAATGAAAACATATATAAATTAGGTTAATCAGAAGGCTAGAAAAGTTTTGACCTCATAGGCAGAAAGATCTGATGTTTGAGTGACAATTTGAGCAACACGTTTTGGAGAGAAAGAATTTCCAGAGTCCACGAAAACGATTTTGCCCCAGCTTTTTGCAACAGCTGAAGCAGCTTGTAAGCAAATCTGGACAATAATATAATCTTGAATCAGTAACAGAATTGAGAGCCAAAAGAGGCTTCAAAGATGAAACATGCTTCACAATTCAACGGTCAGAAGATTTTTCAATAGTCAGAAGATTTTTCTAACTTTAAGAAACAAACATCAGGAATCAGCACAACCACCATGTCAAAAAATAAAACTAGAATTATAAATGCACTCTTACTTGTGTTTTACCAGAGGATGATGTGCCAACTAGCTCCGTTAGATATCCCTCTCTTAATCCACCATGAAGAAATGTATCTATGCTGATCCAGAGTAGTCTTATTCATCAGTCATTTACTGTCAAGGAAGATATTAAAAGTATTGGGCGTTCAAGCATTGTTACCTTCTGCATCCAGTAGGTAAGAAGCGCTTATTCTGTAAAGCATCATCCAACAACTCCTGACCATCTACCCATGGTTGATGCTGCTTGTTAATGATAGTCAGAACCTGAGTGATTCCCTATTTTACGAGTAAAATGAACGTACAGATCACTATAGGAATACCAAAGAACAGATATATGAAAACTACATATGTGGCAGATCGAACCTCCTTCAATCTCTCAGAATTATGATGCTGTTCGGTTGAAATCACTAACACATAAAGATCATGCAGGAGAAAATCTTCAACTGCAAAAACAGAAAAACAAAAATAATATGACTACAACACATATATTGAATTTTATCCATAATCCTATGTTCCAAATTAACTTTCTTACTTTCTATTTGAGGGTATCCTAGGATTATGTCCTGCCCTTCAGGAACACTTTTCCACTGCAATTCTTAACACTTTTAGTTCTTTTATTTAAAAGATGCTTTAGCACCAAATTTTGTTCTAAACAACATCAAAAAATTTAATAAGACGACTTTATCTCCACTTCTGGATCCATAGTAAAACTTTAACGTTTACCTTAATAGTCGTATCCAAACCAACTGGGACACTAAAATTTGAAAGAATGGAGTACACTTCAATTGTTAGCGCTAGCATTATTTCAAAAGATTCAGTAAACAGTCTATTTTGGGATCAAATTCTTTTAAAAAGCTTATACAGGAAAATGGAGTTGGGTGGGAGGTGTCGAATCAACCTTAAATTCCCAACAACAACAACCAAACTCCGAGACATTTTTGTTATTTTCTTGACAACCGAGAAATTCTCGAGGGCCGGTTGGTGCACAGTTCGAAACCTGGTGGATAATTGATTCACTCATCTACCCTTCTCCATTTAATTACTAGGCTTTTATCTGTGATAGGATTCAAACCCGTGACTGCACCAAATTTGTCATCTCTTCTCACACAATCAAACCAAAATACAGATCAACAAAGAGAGAGGATAACCCAGAATATACTTATGATACATGTTCACCATATCAAAAGCATAAAATTTCGATCTAAAATGAGCTTCCCTCTATATGAAAGTACTATCACTTCTCAGGTAAAGTTGAAACTGGTGTAGCAACTGCATAAGTTAACAAAATCAGTTGTTTATCTCTTAGGGTTAAGTGACATAAAAGTTGTAGTCTACAGGAAAATTTTCCCAAAATAATATCAGTATTGGAATGAAAGATAACATGGTAGAACAAATGGAGAAATTGTTGTTGATATTAATAAGAGCATAGAGAAAAGGAAACCTGAAATAATGTTGTGAGAAGCACAGAAATTGCGGAAATCGGAGTCAATTAATGGGTAATCACACTCCAAACACCTCAATGCCGCCATCACTTTTTCCAATTTCTCAGTTCCCAGTTTTTCTGGCGGGTTATTCTAAACAAGATGGAGGGAAAATGTGCATAGGAAAAATATTTAAGTATTCCTGAAGAATTAAGGTATGTTAATTCGAAAAAATTTATTATGGTAGAGGCCCAACCAACTAAAGTCATGTGAGGCTGCACCCATTTTTTGACATGTAAATTGTGGGGCCCAAGCTTGATGTTAAGGCTGAAAAATGAAATCAAAAGGAGAAGGAATGTAAAGTTTGAGTGGAAATTGCAAGACAATTAGGAGGTCCACGTCAACTTCAATTAAATAAATTAAAATATTATATTGAAAGTGGAAAAGTGTACGGTAAAAAAAGGTAAGAAAGAAAATAAAAAGTCATATTATCAGCTGATTAATATTTTTATTTTCTATTTTATAAAATAAAAGTTATGGTTTAGATACAATTTCAATTGACCACTACTTTATTTGATTATAATAAACTTTGCAAGTTTTATAAGAAATTATAATAATTTATGTATATGTCATACTCTATTACTTAGCTAGCAGTTAATTATAGATTTTCAAATACTTTTGTCAAGTTATTTTTGCGTAAAGTTTTATCATGTGTTTTATCATAGATTTTGAGACAAATATTCAACTTTTTAAAGAAATATTATTTATATTTCCAGATTTTAAAAACTATTAAAAATATCCGTAATTTTGTATAATCATTTTATGAAAACGCATGACAACAAATATAATTAATATGAATTTAAAAGAAAAAAAAACAAAAGAAAAATATCATTAATTTTTATATGAAAAAGTATTATTAATACTTGCAATTGAAAGTCACATCGGATAACAAGCCTAAATGAAAATTGTATAAAATATATATATAACTATATAAGTTTTATACAAAGAACTACGACTAAAACTCAATTCAAATTATAAACGATGGGTGTTATTATTTATTAAAAACACCCATGTTGAACTCTATTTAACATTTATTTAACGTGTTGAATGAATATCTATTAAAAAATATTATTTTTATATTGAAATTTGTTTACACTTTATTTTCTTTAAACTCACGTTACTTTTAAAAATAGTTCTATATTACAAGATAAAATAAGATTTGTGTATATTTTGTTGTCTTCAAACTAATTTACTATTAACGTCAAATACCAAATTATAAAATAAAAGTTTAAAGAAAATAAAAATATTGATCAGCTAATAATATGACTTTTTATTCCCTTCCTTACCTTTTTTACTGTGCACTTTTTCACTTTCAATATAATATTTTAATTTATTTAATTGAAATTGACATGGACTCCACAATTGTCTTGCAATTCCCACTCAAATTTTACATTCTCTCTCCTTTTGGTTTCATTTTTCAGTCTTAACATCAAGCTTGCGCCCCACGATCCACATGTCAAAAAATGGGTGGAGCCTCATACAACTTTGGTTGATTGGGCCTCTACCATAATAAATTTTTGGTGAAGGGTAGCTCCAACAAATAACATAATATTAATTTAATATAGGGAAGAGAGTCTGAAAAATACTCAAACCTTTGGTTGTACGTTGTTACGATACCAAACTTTATGCAGAACCATAGTGATTGGTAAAATGTTCTTTCCAAAGTTAGGTATTGTTACAGCAATTTCGATCAAAGTTCAAATATATTTCAATTTTTTTCCCTTTAATATATATATATATATATATAATATCTTGTTTTATCGAGAGAACACATATTCACATGCCATATTTAATTTCACAAGGAAGACATGTATTGAGGATGAAGAACATGCACAATCAATATGAAATGTCATTTTCAAGAATTAATATTTTTAAAAATCTCTGTGAAAAAAACTAAAAAATATTTTCTTTCGTACTGAACTACTTGGTTAGTGGGAGAATTTGAACTTTGGGATAGCTTGGTTTGATTGATAGATATTAAAAATTCACCTAACTAGAACTTCACGAGTGAATGCAAAAAAGTAGAATTTTTGACCAAAGTAAGCTATTATAAAAATCAATTTACTAAAATAATACGTTTTTTAAAATTTTTACAAAACTAGTATAAACGTAATTCACATAACGTTTTAGGTTATATTTTATTCAAAAAAATTGAATAACAAAAAGACAAAAATCTGACAGAGTAAACAGACATAAAACGTTATTGTTAGTAACATTTTATAATTCGTTACTCTGAGGCACGTTTTACAGCTAAAACATGACTCACAGTAACGTTTTTCTGGAATGATTGAAAATTAAAAAAACAATCTTGTACATACCTCATTCAACTTTATTAAACTTTCCACTATTAAAATGAATATATATATTCACATATATAAATTTCTCTTTTCTTCTCTTTTCATACATAGATAATACTTTTGCAAGAAAAATAAGTTGTGAGGAGGCTTTACTACGATATCAATTAATCCCTTTGTCTCTTCTATTATGATGTAGCCATTATATATTTTTTTAATAGTTGGTTTGCTTACTTATTACATCAACTTTAATTCAATAACTTCTTTATTGATAATCTAATATTTAATAATGATAAGAACCCGATTGGTCTAATATTTAGAAGGGATGCTATCTTAGGCTTGAATTAAGAAGATCTCTCATATGATTTATTTACAAATTTTGAAATTGAAATGATACAAGACAAACTCCAATTTGTGTAAAGTCATCCGCACTTTTTTTTCCTTTTGTATAAAAAAAGTATTGTCAATATGAAAAGAGAAAGAAAAGAGAAAATCATATATATTTCAAATGAAGGTATGTACAAAATATATCTATCCATTTTAATAGTGGAAATTTGAATAATGAATGAGAGATGTACAAGATTGGATTTCAATTTTCACCATTGAGAAACGTTACTGTGAGTCACGTTTTAGCTGTAAAAAGCTGTAAGACGTGCTTCAAAGTAACGAATTATAAAACGTTACTGACAATAACGTTTTATGTACTGTCAGATTTTTGTCTTTTTGTTATTCAATTTTTTTGAATAAAATATAACCTAAAACGTTATTGTGAACTACGTTTATACTAGTTTTGTAAAAATTTTAAAAAACGTATTATTTTGGTAATTGATTTTTATAATAGCTTACTTTGGTCAAAAATTCCAAAAAATTAAACCAGACTAACATAATTTTGTCTTTTGATCAAATTAGGTTCAGTAGTTAGAGTAATGGTAAAACTTACATTAAATATCATTGACTCTAATATTTAACAACCCTTTAGGTTGATCATGACTACTATTGAACAAAGCTGCAAACACAAAAGAGCTTAAAGAGAAATAAGTACACCAATAGATGAAAGTTGTTTAAAGTTAAAACGTACATCTAATAGATAACAAAAGATCAGATCAATATAATTAAACTAAGATATTATTGTAAAAACTGAAGAGCCGCGAAGATACTTGTTCCGAACACCATAAGGTCTAGAACAATAATCACAATTCCAAAACTTCTAACCACTACTCTCTCTTATTACTAAGTCTAAAGTAGGGAAACTTGGTCGCAATCAATCAGTTTGGTGGTGGGAAGAACACCTCTTCTGCAGTTCTCTTGGAGCTGAAATGCTTCTCTACCTCTGGTGCAACCTTGAAAGAGGCCTGCAGAACTTGTGGGGATAGAGATTTCCATGGTGAAACCTTTCCAGCCAAGTTTGTGAACTTTGGGCTGTTACATAACAAATAGTAGTTAAGGTTAGAATCTATATTTTTAGCATAACAGAAATTGTAATTTGACATCGATCAACAAAAACATACTTGGGCGTAGTGATGATGGAGAACCAATCCATGCCATCAGGATCGGCAATCTTCGAGACAACACAGAACCTCGGAACAATGAAAAGATTACCAGGCTTGAGATGTGTTTCAAGAATACGCTTACCATCAGGGCCAACAACCTGAACTCGGCCACTGCCTCTGACAATGTAGGTGACTTGAAGGGCTGAGTCACATGAGAAACCGGGAGAGCACATAGCACTTCCGTTCAACCTAACAAGATCAGCACCAGTTCCAACTTCGCCAACCAATGGCAAGTTCTTGGTATTCAAAACAACAACCCTTCCACCACCCTTGATATCAACATCCAATGGAGCTTCCTCACAGTTGAGAACCATGCCATCCCTGTTGGCTTGCTTAGGCTCAGGCATTTGGAAGCCTGCATCGAGCTTCACAATGCCCTTAGCAGTCTGGGAGCTAACTAGAGTCTTAGCAACACTCTCTTCTACATCCCATGCCCTGCTAACAAACTCAGTTGAGAAACCGGTGAAAATTCCATTGGAGCCAGTCAAGTACATGTCAGTAAATGAACCAGCCTTGTGTGCAGTTTTGGTATCACCAAGGAAGAGAACCACAAGTTCAGGGTCCTCTTTGTTGTACCACCATGTTACAACACCAAAAGGAAGGGCAATAGAATCACCCTTCTTAATGGCTACCACCTTCTCGTCTTTTTCCGGAAGAACAATTCCAGCAACTCCACTACCTGAGATCCATGTAATGTTATAATTAAGTGGCAGTACTCATCTATGTATAATAGATGCAACAACATTCCCAAGGTATATATATAACCAAAAAGCATATTAATTGTTTTATCATGGATCACACAAGCCCTAGATTACGAATTAACCCAAATCATCAAATCCACGAATCAAAACAACAGGATTCCCAAAAATTGAATTGAAGAACAAGCCACAAATCAAAACCCTATTAGTATTAAAAAAGGCCCAAAATTGTTACCTTGAAGAACATAGGCGACCTTAGCGGAATCAGAGTAACGAGGCAAAGCAAAGCCATTCTTTGTAAGAGCAAGTTTCCCAGCGCCAATATTTCCTTCCTTCAACATGGGAAGGTCATTAGGACACCATGCATGATAAGAACCACCATCTCCTCCATAAACTTGCTTAGCCAACTTTGGGGTTAGATCAATATCCATATCTCGAAAATTGATTAGTACTAGTAAGTAATTAGTAAAAGCAGAAACAGAGAGGTGAGGGTAAACTCAATGAGAGTTTGCTATTTATAGACTGAAAATTCA